CAGCACCAGCGATCGCCGCACCACCAGCAACTGTCGCCTCCGTCCGTCGGCGGTGCGTCATCTGGGCACCGACGGCCGCCCGCCGTCCCTGTACCGTCGCTACCCGCTGGTTACGCGCGCCACGAGCAGCTGTACCGATCCTTTTACGAGGATCCCGCGGCCGCAGCCTATCACGCGCGTGCCTTCGGTGGCGGCGCCGGTATCGTGTTCCAACCGTCCGCGGCCCACCAGCACCATTTGCACCATCACCACCAGCAGCAGCAACTGCACTCGGCGGCCGCGGCGGTCGCCGAACCGTCGCCCGCCTCGTCATCGTCCGACGCCGAATCCGTCGTGGCTGTCCAGCACGCCGAACGGGCTTGACGTGAAGCGGCTCGACTACAAAACCACACGTAAATCCAAAGACAAAACAAAAAAAATAAATATATAAACATTATTTTGTAAATATTAACGATAATATTATTTAAGAGTAAACTTTGTAAATAACATATTATTACGAATATAATATATTATTATATATTAATAAGAATAAAGTAAAAACACATAATATATATGATAATATGATATTATAGAAAACGGCATGTATAACACATTGTGCGGACAATAAAAAATAGTAATGATACTACTGTTAAAAAACAAAAAAAAACTATATATACGTATTAACGAGGAAGAAATAATAATATTATATCTAAAATATAACGTGATTGATATATTTATATATATATATATATATTATATATAAATACAGGTCGTCGAGTACTAATAGTGATGTATTATATATTATTACAGTACCTATGCATATTAAATATACCTTGAGCAGATTTCTCAGGGAATTCGGGGGTTCTAAGTGATGTGATTGATGGAGGGTAGATCAGTGGGGGGGAGAGGGGTTGGGGAGCAGAGACTTAATCGTTTTATATTTTATTTCGCCGAGAAACCACATACAATACAAATAATATTATATACTGGGTACGACATGCGCATTATTGTGGTATGTGCGTGTACCTACACAATGTTTTATATACGTATACTGTGGGTGTAATAATATATATTTATATATTATATCATATTATTATGTAGAGGACAGGCGTACCCGAGTCTGTCCGGTTTAAGACGACTGGACAATCTTTTACGTTTGCCGCGGGGACACGAGATACACGATTGAAATTGAAATTGTCATTACCTATTATTATTTTTTTCTCGTGCGAGGCGAACCGATTGTTGACGTTCCTTTCTATACGACATTATGTTTTATTATTTTAATTTATTTCCTTTCATCATCTTGTTTTTATTTTTTCTCGTTCTTATATAGCGATAGGACGTAAACTACGGTTTTTAAAGATATATATATACACACAAACTAGACGGAATGTATGACAAAAACTACTATATAATAATATTATCTCTTCTCGTACAGCATCATATTATATATTGTTTTCCATTTTAGTGTATATTTAGCGGTTTGTACATTGTATTTGTACGATATATAATTATATTTATAGCGGTACGCGATATTATTTTATTTTGTAATTAATTGGAATATAAAAAAAAACCATTGTTATAGCTTTTAAATTTAAATTATTCTATTATGTTTTTTTTTGTGATATTGTAGTCGGTACTTTTCCTAATACATTGTTTTTTCTTAAAAAAAAAAAAGTGTTTCTATTTTTTTATCCTCTTACTGGTCCGCTCTATTTCTACATATATTGAATTGTTTACTGTAAAAGCCAACTACTATATATATGAGCAAATTCTAATTCTATGCGACGTCATCGTCATCTTTTTTAAACAAAAACAAGTTTTACGAAGCCTATGAGTTACACGACACCCCGACAAGAATTTTTTTCGTCTATTCTTGCAGTAAAAAAAAAATCATGTCTTTTTGTTTCGTGGACATCGATTGGAAGGTAACTTAAAACTTCACAAACATCATCCTTAACTACAGATTGTTAACTGTTTTTTTTTTTTAATCAACTCTAGACAATAATTGTCCACTCGCTATACAATTATAGATCTAGATCATGACATATATTATACACCGGTGCGTGTTTAAAATATGTGCTAATATATTTGTTTAGCTATTATATGCACTAATTCACTGGTTAATGTGCACACTATAGACTTACGTCCTATCCGGAGAATACGTCGATTTTTGAACGTTAGTTTTTTGAACAAGGACGGTAAAAATAATATCTTGATGCGTTATATTGTTACAATAATAATAATAGCTAAAGGGACGTGTCATATTCGCGTCTTTTGACGATACGTACATTTTCGTGCATCAGTAAAATAATAAAAATCGAAGTACAAAATATTATCGTGTTATTTAATATTACAGCCCTCCGTTGCAGARTGCAGGTTAAATGACAACACCTCGTAATAATATTTACATATAATTATAACGACAGGACAATTTATCAATTTATTTATTAGGTATATGCACACTCAACAATATATATATATATATATGTGTGCGTGAATACCTAACACATATACATGTAACATATTATACACACAGCATAATACGTATATAACTAGCATATAACTAGCGCGAAAACAACGTATAAAAAACACCAATCAGATTTTCGATTTTATTTATCGTGGTCGTTTTTTTTTTTTTCAGTTGTGTATATTATATATGGACACTGCTAATTACATTATTGTCGTCGAAATCTAAACGGAAAAAAAACCGACGATTTATCTCTGTCGTCACATGCGCGTTATTGAGGGTTTTATAATATATACATATGTGCATATATACATATATATTATATRAAACGAACCCATTGGTCATTGCGATGTATATATAGACACCGAGTGTGAGTTAAAAAAAAAAAGCGGAAATATGCAGCAAAAACGTATATTATTTTATCGTGTGTTACAATATTAGTGACTATAATACACACGCATACAGGTATATGTATAATATCTAAAAAGTCGTCACTTTGGTGTAGGAGAATTTGGTGTAAATAAAACACACGCTCGTTTCTGCAACGAATAACAATATAATGTGTACTTAAAAAAAAAAAACAGCCGCCGACGACGACCAGACACAATCGAAAGGTCATCGCCGGCGGTCTTCAGATATATTACCTATGTATATATATATATATAATATACTCGTATATCGTTCTGGCGACGATCGCTTTTCAATCTTTTGCGCATGACCATTTTACACGATCGATTTGCTTAAATTCAAAATCATAATTCAATTTTTATTATTTATTTCTTATTACATTATTACTGTCTTCTGGAGGGGGAGGCGATCGCTCCTCTACACCGCCTCTCCTAAATTATAGGTGCCTGTCCCGTGACCGGCACRTACCGCACGTAAGTATTATACGTAAGTCCAAGGTATATGACCACCACACACTCGCTGCTTTAGGAGTGGGCTCGGATGCAGTACCTATATATATTATATGCACCTATTACACTCAATGCGGCGACAGACTACTCGGGAGGGACCGCACCTGTTAAATACGCGTAATAACGGACA